CACACACACACACACACACACACACACACACACACACACACACACACACACACACACACACACACACACACACACACACACACACACACAGTGTTATGGCCGGATCATGGTTTGTTTCATGTCAGGGATTACTATGGGAAGGACTCAAAGCATGGTTGTCATCCAGACGCCTCATTGCTTCATTATTTTGGTGGTAGTGTCGTGTTTTTTTGATTTGCGACAGTTTTCTCAGTTCTACTCGTGGATGCTGGTTTATTTGACTGTGGGACGTCTCTGTCTTTCCTTCTCTCCCTCGTCTTTTCTGTGTTTTCTCCTTCTTTCTCTTTGTGACGACTGACTCTCACATCAAAACCATTTACACACATTCATTTATGAGTTCTAGCCACTCAAGATCATTTATGTCTCTTGTTGTTTTAATTGTATTTAAAGAAACAGTTCATCCAAAAATGAAAATGACATCTTCATTTACTCACTCTCAACTTTTTTGAGTGAACACAATTCAAGATATACTGAAGAATATTGGACAACAACTGCCATTGACATCCATAGTAGGAACAAAACATACTATTGAAGTATCCAGTTCTTCACTATATCCTCCTTTGTGTTCAACAGAAGAAAGAAACTTAAACAGGTTTGAAAGAATAAGAAAATGATGGATTTCGAGATTTGGGTGAACTGTCCCTTTAATAGATATTTTTTGATTGGTATAATTAAAAAAAAAAAGATTTAAACTGCATTTTATCTAATAAAAATGAGCAATATTCTATTATTAAAACATTTACTTTACTTTAAAGTACTTTAATTTACTTTAGTTTTTTTAATCTTATAAATATATGAACAATTATGGCTGTAAATAAATAGCTTTAGCAAAACAAACGTTTGGGCGTTTTAATTTGTTTTGTTTTTTGTTTTGTATCTTTCTTTTGGTTTTGTTCGTTTTTCTTTTGGTTTTGTTTTGTTTTGTTTGTATTGGTTTTGTTTTATTTGGTGTTTTGTATAGTTTGGCTTCTCTGTCTGTTTTTGGTTTTGTTTGTTTTTGTTTATTTTGTTTATGGATTTTGATTTGTGTTTTGTTTGGTTTGGTTTAGTTTTTTGTTTAGTTTTATTTATTTTGTATTGTTTTTGGTTTGGTTTTTGTTTGTTTTGTTTTTTGTTTTGTTTAGTTTGTTTTAATTTTTTGTGTTTGTTTTGTTTTTTGTTTTGTTTAGTTTGTTTTAATTGTTTTTTGTTTGTTTTGTTTCTTGTTTTGTTTTGGGTTTTGTTTTTGCTTTTTTGTTTAGTGTTTTTCGGTTTGGTTTGGTTTGCTTTTTTTTTTGTTTGGTTTAGTTTTTTGTTTTATTTAGTTTTTTTTATTTAGTTTTTTGTTTTACTTAGTTTGTTTTAATTGTTTTGTGTTTCTTTAGTTTTTTGTTTTGATTTGATTTGTTCTGTTTTTGCTTTTGTTTCGTTTTGCTTTTGTGTTTTGTTTTGATTTGTTCTGTTTTTGCTTTTGTATCGTTTTGCTTTTGTGTTTTGTTTTGCGTTTTGCTTTTTTGTTTTGTTTTTTTGTTTTTGTTTAATTTTCCAGTCCATGATAATTAGAGAGCATTATAGTCAAGATCTTAAAATAAAAAGGATGGTCAAAATGGCTTAAAAAAAGATACACGTTTAAAGAATAATTAAAAGTGCACAACAAACCTAATGAAAATAGCTAAGATTTAAACAGCATTAAAGTTTAAAACAATTCCAAACATTAAGAAAACTATAAAAGTATCACATAACGCTGGATGGAATTAATGCTTAGTTGGAATTTTTTTGCTGCTTTACCACCATTTAACTTAGTAATCAAATTACATTAGTAAGTATACAAAATGTGTTAATATGGAGTTTAATTTCTAGAAACCAAATCAGAGTCTCATCCTGTAAAGGAGGTAATGTGATATAAAATGAAGACACCACATCTGGATTAAAAGTCTTTTTTTCATCCTTTTCCTTTATTATTTCTGTTCTGTTCATTCTTTTTTTTTCTTCTAAAAGCAGCCACCATCCCATAAACCACTTTACTTTTAACAGGACCTAGTAGACTTCACTAAACCATTTTAACCAGCAAAAACTAGTGCAGTAATCAGTGCATTGCTCTCATTGTAACAACAGGTGTTTTTCCAGCATTATAACTAATAAAAACCCTCCAAAAACATCCACAAAACCACCTCATGTGCTGATATATTCCAGGTCCATTACATTTTCTGTGGAAACCATTGTGTTTTTCTTTTTTCTCTCATGTTTTTTTGTTTTGTTTAATCCTGTGTCTTGTCTTGTCATTGAACCTGGAACTTTGAATGAAACGCCTGGTAGAAGAGAAAGATCATTAAAACACATTTACATGCAGCAGAGCAAACTATGTATTCATTTTTATTCTATTTATATTTTTTTATATTACATATATTATTATACTTTTATATTGGATTATATTGAAATTTATTTATTGCTGACACAATACAACACACATTTAAACATAAACGTTGTCACAAAATAGTAATAATGAAATAAATAAATGAGGTGAACACATGCATTTCTTTTATTTCATTATTTATGTGTGTGTTGCATTATATGTTCCATTATGCAGGTATTTAATATGTATTGTAATTGTATTCATGAATAAATTTAAATGTGAACCTGCACCTCTTATAGATGGATTTTTGGGAATAGTCAAAATTAATTTTTATTTTATGCCAAAAATAATTGAAATCTGCTTTGAATCCCTGCTGTTCGACATTATAGCACTTATTTCAGATTATAATGTGAATAATGTGCGTGTAAAGTCGTTCAGGTTTCAATTGTCAAATCCTTTTTATGATTTCTCTGCTTTGGCAGGTCTAGCGTTCTCTGTTCCAGCTTCAAATGTAATCCCATTCAGTCATTTATTTGTGTGACACACCAAGTCGACATCAAAGTACGAGCAGCAAGCTGCACTGCAATACAGCAAAACTCTATTCAGAAGCTAAATTAAAGCTAGGAGTGCACTTATTGAAACTGTAAAGTAAAATCTTATCAGTGCATTTTAATGATGTTCTTGTTACATTACTGTCATAAAATTATTTGCATATCGTAATGCTTGAGTGAAATGACAACGTTAGAACTGAACTTTTTTTTGCTCTGGTCACATTTATTAGTTCGCAAAACTGAATACTAGATACAACGTTTGGAAGAGTTTCAAAGAATCTGTGATTTGATTTGTATTGGAAAATTCAAAATAAAAGTATCCTAGAGTATTGCTAGTTTTCAAAAATAAAAATTAATTCTATTATTTTTATTAATTATAATATAAATACTGTAGAGTTTTTGTTAATGCTAACAAAAATGAGGGTGGCTTAATAATGATGACAGAAAAGTCATTTTTGGGTATACGAACGCTTAATTTTTTGTGACTGTTGGGATTTGTTTAACACATGTTAAAAAGGCAACAATTTAATATATAAGATTGTCAAATGTTTAATTCATCATAATTGTTTTAAACCGTGTTTACGATTATCATTATGTCAAAATTTTAAATAGGAATATATGACTATTTTTATCCTCATTTTAGGTGGGAAAAAGTGTAATGCGAATAATAAGAGATGGAAAGGATATGTCCTGAATAAATTCTGACGTAGCGAACATTACACTTATGTGACCGTATTTACTTGTTTACTGTTGGTTGCTAGGTTACCAATACTACAGTCAGCCACTCTAACAACTTGATAAAAAGCTCAACTAGTTCACGTTTGGGGTTTGGCTTTTCGCATAATTCGCATTTGTTCTTTTTTGCAAACTTAAAAAAATAACTGTTTACAAGTGTCCTTTATGCCAAATTTCAAATAAAAATTAGTTTGAAAAAAAAAAACTATTTTCAAAAGCGTAATGTGAATAATTAGAGAGGGAAACACATTTCCTGAATAAACTCTGACGTAGCAAACATTACACATCAAAATCCATTATGCTAGCCTTGTTTACTGTTGGTTGCTAGGTTACCAATTCTATAATACCACTCTAATAACTTGATGAAAGTGCTATTAGTTACCAATACTATAGTTGGCCAACCCAATAACTAGACAGAGGCGCTACCAATTTGCATTTGGGATTTGCATTGTCACATAATTTGCATTTGCTCTTTAAAAACTTATTTTTATGCTGTTTATACATATTCTTTACGTCAAATTTACAATAAAAATCTTTATTCGTAAATAATAATAATAATTTTCATCCTCGCTTGAGGTGATTTTCAAAATCATAATGTGAATAATGAGAGAAACACATTTGTAAAATAAACTCTGACGTGGCAAACATCACAGATCCAAATCCAAATATTACAAATGCTTTATGCCTGCCTTGTTTACTGTTGGTTGCTAAGTTACCAATACTACAGTCAGCCACTCTAATAACTTGACGGAGGGACTACTAATTTGCATTTAGGGTTTGCTTTGTCACATAATTTGCATTTGTAACTTTTTTGTAGTGTTTACAAGTATCCTTTACTTCAAATTTTAAATAAAAAATATTTATTCGTAAAAAATTATAATTTTCATCCTCACCAGAGGGGATTTTCAAAAGCATAATGTGAATAATGAGAGATGGAAACATGTTTGCTGAAAAAATTTTTGACGTAGCAAACATCACACACTCAAATCCAAACATTACAAATGCGTTATGCTTGCCCTGTTTACTGTTGGTTGCTAGGTTACCAATACTATAGTCAGCCACTCTAATAACTTGTTAATAACTCGCAGCTAGTTCACATTTTGAGTTTGCATTTTCCCACTTTTCGCATTTGTTTTCTTTTTTTGTAAACTTCTTGCAAACCATGGAAACCCGGCTAGTAAGAACTAGACATTGACTGTTGGCTTGGTGTCTCACTTATTTGCTGTATTAAATCACACACATGCATTTGCTCATATCATTGTTTTCTTCTAGATATGAATTGATCATAGCAGTGCTTTTCCCTCTCCCTGTTTCAATATGTTTGTGCTCTCCAAGAGTTACCTTTCATTTCCTCCAAAAACTCTTTCATTTCTTTCGTAGAATGCTGACAGTATATATTGCTGACTTTTATGCCTTGTTATGTGTCTGTTGATCTTTTTTATGCTGTTTCTCCTTCCAGTTTTCTGTTTCCTTACTTTGTTTTGTAAATGTCGTCCCTGTTTCTCTGGTTCTCAGTGTGCACTGCTGACCAAGTTACTTTGTTTTCCTTTCACTTCCTTATTTGCCCCTCCCCCCCCCCCTCCTCTGATTGGGCCATGCGTGGTGGGTGTGGTTTGTGGGGGCGTGTCGACACCTCGGATCCGTCACCTGTGATTGGTCGCCGGCACCGTTTCGTGACACAACGTCTCCACAACCAATCGCAAACTCCCACATCCACCCATGCCGACGTGGTAAAAAAAAAATTCCCCAAATTCTCCCCCCACATTCCTCTCTGGTCACGACCTTACCTTGACGCACACCTGACTTCGTTTGCCCTCTGGGCAGTTTGCGGACGACCAAAGTGGCGAAGCAAGGCCCCAGCGCAAACTCTCCCGTTAAAGACCTGAAAGACCTTTCGGCCATGGACGCCTTCCGCTCCCGCAGCATCAGTGTGTCCGAGCATGCTGTGCGCAGGTAGAGCAATTTTGGTAACCTCAAAACCTCAGCAACCGGTTATTATTCTCCCTGCTTTTTCTTTTTCTTTAATCTGTATGCAAGGACGGTGGGTGGGGCTTGATGATTCGGGGCAGGGCGTTGTCTTGGCGATTGCGGGGTGGGCGTGGACATCTGGTTTGAGCTCATTCTGAAAAGGGTGCATGCTGGAGGAGGGTTTTGTCTTTTACTTTCGGTGTTCATTGGTGATAACATTGAGTGCATGCATGCGCTAATGCCTTGCGACTGACTAGCGTGCATCTGTTTTGATTTGGACCTAACCCCGTTTTTGCATTTGCTTATACCATGCTTAATTGTTTGCTGTATGTGATGGAGTCTGTTTGATGTCCTTTTTTTCATTGCCCAAAAAATACACAATACAAATGCTGTGCTACGGAGCCCCTAAAGAGACATCGGCATAGATGAAAATAAGCTTGATATTAAGTTTGTTATTCTTCCTCTCCGAAAAGGCCTTCGCAAAATCGTGTTAGCTTTTTTGCGCGGTTTTGGGGGTTTACATTCATACAAAGTTTACATTCCTCTTAGAAACTTTGCATCAACGTGAGATTTTTAGCGTTCTATTTTAACATTTATTTATGAGATTTTTATGACAGTTATCAAACAAAAGTAACAGAAAACAGTAAAAACCAGCAGTTGCCACCGTGGTTGTCCATGCCACAGGAGCGGTAGTACATGACACCCAGCTAGTCAGCCAGGTATCGCAAAGGCCTTTCCAAAAATGGCCAGTTACAAAAGAGAAAGTGATAAATAGAAGACTTTGACGAGAAATGGATTGACATATTTGGTAGTTGAGAAAGCGCCGCTCCAAAGTGTAGAGAAGCCTATTTTCCAAGAAATGCTGGTGGTGAAACAATGAAGCAATATACCCTCTCTTGGCCACAGTTGCGAAAAAGTATCTGCATTATGCTACAAGCACATTGTCTGAACCCCAATTAAATCTTCGCTTAAACCAAACAAAGTCAACATGTTAGTTTTATCTGGCAAAGAATTTAAAATATAAATGGAAAACAAAGGTGTATAGAGTTAGTAGCCTACGCTTTTTTCAACATCTGACCTGTATTGTAATTAGCAGGCTAATCTTTTTTTTTTCTTATTATTATTAGTTACTATTAATGTGAAAATGACTAGTGGTCTCTGCTAAAATTAATTTAACGGCAAATTTATTTTGCGTTTTTTTTGCAAGTGTGTGCAATAGGCAAGAAGACCAATCAGAACGGGATTGTGTTTAGTCAAGCCAAGTCAAAAGTTTGCATTTATTACAGATATTACACTAAAATGAAAACACTAGCTGGCCAAAGACGCTAGAGTAGTATGGAAGCCTGGCATAACCATAATAAAAAATATGGGTTTTAAAACGAAATGCATTCGAGTAAGCAGCACCTTAATAACTTTTTTTAACCAGGTAAGCCAATTGTGAAGTAGTTTTCATTTACAGTGACGACAAGCCCAAAAGGCAACATAAAAAAGCAGATGTGTTAGCATGCAAAACGTTTATCTTGCCTCGCAAAACCTTTTCCGTTCCACTTAGAAAATTTACGTTTACTCATGAAATGCTTATAATGAAGTCTGGGAGAAGAACGACATTTCATTTGTTTTGTAAGATACTGCAAAGCTTCTCAGGTGAAATGCAATACTTTTTTGGCGGGAGCAAAGTATTTCAGGAAAGTGACGATTTTTTGTGTGTGTGTGTGTGTGTGTGTATGTGAGAAAATGTTAAGGTTAATGAAAGCAATCGCATTAGGATAAAATAATTCTATGTTTCGTACTCTTTAACTTTTCCTACATCTCCGTTTTCCTTTTATGGGCTTCGTAGCACACACACACACTGGAGGCATGTGCTTATTACAAAACTAAAGTATGCAGACGTAATCCAGCAACTAGCTTCTCGATCTCTGCTGTTTGAATGAGATTGGTGGCAGTAATTCCGCTCCCAAACACCAGGGGGTTCCACTTGCTCAACCTGCTGCCTGTTTAACCTTCACTCACACATGTCACCTGCACTCATTCACACACTCTTTGTGATCCAGGTAAAGTATTCATCCATGTTTTCATTAATCATGAACAGAAGTCGCGCAAAAAGCGACGCAGGCGTGCCGAAAACGTTTCACTTTCGCCCTCTTCAAATGCTCGTCCTCTATGTTTATTTACCTTTTTTAATGCTTTGAGGAAAATTTTAATGCTATTATCATAATAATTTAGTCTTGAATGTCATGTTCATGTGTTGTGCGATAAGTCAATATATTGATTATTGTGACTAGCTTAATAGTAAGAAGAAGAAAAAAATACTATAAAGGATGTCAATGTCTGATTTTTCCAGCATTCTTCAGTATATTTGTGTACTCTAACATGATCTGGAACAATTGAAGGATGAGTAAATGACAGTTAGCATTTTGGTGTGAACTACCCTTTTAAAAATGAAGCCTAAATTCTACTCCTTTATTAATCAATGCCACTCATATCCAGCAGATGGCAGTGCGGCATCAGACGAGATTCACAGCAGCGTCCTGACAGTCATTGAGTAATATTCGGCCCCTGAACGTCTGTGTTTTATTAACCCAGTGCGTGTGATTAGCATAAAATCTATTAGATCTCCCAGTTACAGGATGCTAATGAATAGAGCGTCCTCTATTAGCAAGCACTGGGACTCCATACGGCATTTTTGCTTGATTGTTTAGCGTCTCTCTGCAGATTATACGCTGCCATCGGTTTACTGATTGCCTCAAGAATTTCGAGCCAAAGGGGATTTATTTGGGAAATTTCAAGGTCGCTCGTTATGATGTAGAACTAATGATGTAGATCAGGGGTGTCATGTCTCGGTCCTGGAGGGCCAGTGTCCTACATGTTGTAGTTCCAACCCCAATTACACACACCTGAGCCAGCTAATCAAGCTCTTTCTAGGTATGCTAGACACTTCCAGGCAGGTGTGTTGAAGCAAGTTGGAGCTAAACTATGCAGGACACCGACCCTCAGGACTGAGTTTGCACACCCCTGATGTAGATCCACATGACAAGCAACTTGATACATCCTGAGGTGAAAGTTAAAAAAGTTATGGCTTCAGTTTTACTACTATCAGATTTATTAATGTTATAATTTTATCTTATTCATATGTAACCTTGTCTAATTTTATAACTTTATTTAATATATTATTTATTTGTTTATTTGATATTAGAATTAAATACTGCTTTAAATAAATAAGTAAATAAATATGGTTATTTTTAAATTATCAAAAATCTGTTTTATTAACTATATTTAAAAATCTAAATTGTGTATAAGCTTTAACTTTATCTGACTTTACAATTAATTACTTTATAATTAATTATTATTATAAATTGAATGTCTTATATCAGTGTAATACAGACTTTAAATAAACAAATAAAAATATTTTACTTTAAATCTACAATTTTTTTTAAATGATTAAAAAAAAGTAAAATAATTGTAATATTTTGAATGATTTTATAATTATAATTTTGATCATTTTAATTCACATTTAATAAAACAATTAAAAAAGAAATTATTAATAATAAAAATGTCTAGAAGGTTTTGTCTTTAGTTTTGTCTAAATATATAAAAATTTTTGGATATCATTTTTATTTATTTTAGACATTTTTTCTTTTTCATATGTAGCAGTGTCCAATATTATATAGCTTTATTTAATGTATTATTATTTTATTATTTGATAATAGAGTTAAATATTTCTATAAATAAGTAAAAAAATTGCTTATTTTATACAACCAAAAATGTGTTTTATTAGGTTTAATTAAAAACAAAATTGTGTATTTCCATTTACTTTTGTGTCTGTCTTTACAATGACCTCTAAAGTAAGATAAAAAAATGATAGTTAATTTTTTATTATAAATTGATTGATTGTCTTATATCAGTGTAATACTGACTTTAAATAAACAAATAAAAATATTCTACTTTAAATCTACAGATTTTTTTAAATGTAGCAGTGTCCAATATTATTTAGCTTTATTAAATATATTATTATTTATTTGATAGTAGAATTAAATATTGCTATAAATAAGTAAAAATTGCTTATTTTTATATGATCAAAAATGTTTTTTTTTACGTTTAATTAAAAACAAAATTGTGTATTTCCATTTACTTTTGTGCCTGTCTTTGCAATGACCTCTAGATAAAAAATGATAATTAATTGTTATTATAAATTGATTGTCTTATATCAGTTTAATACTGACTTTAAATAAACAAATAAAAAGTTTTTACTTTAAATCTACAGAAAAAAAGCATTTTAAATTACTACAAAAATTAAAAATCTAAAATCATTGTAATATTTTGGATTATGCCATAGGTATAATTTAGATCATTTCAATTCACATTCAATAAAAAACCTTTTAAAAAACCTTAAAATAAATTTATAATAATAAAAATATCTTACTTAAAGGTTTTGTCTATTTTTTTTAGATATCAGTTTTATTTATTTTAGACATTTTTCTTTTTCATATGTAACTGTCCAATTTTTAATTGCTTTATTTAATGTATTCTTTATTCATTTGATATTAAAATTAAATATTGCTATAAATAAATAAGTAAATAAATACACTTATTTTTATTTAAGATTAAAAATCTGTTTTATTAGGTTTAATTAGAAACAAAATTGTGTATTTCCATTTACTTTTGTGTCTGTCTTTACAATGACATCTACAGTAAGATTGAAAGAATAGTAAGAAAAAAAATATACACATATATATTGTTATAAATTGATTGTTATATCAGTGTAAAACTGACTTTAAACAAATGAATACAAATATTTTAGTTCAAATCTACAGAAAAAAAAATATTTAAAATGATTAAAAATAATTAAAAATGTAAAAAAAAGTTATATTTTGGATAATTTTATCATTATGATGTGGATAACTTCGAATGTCATTTAATTAAAGAAATAAAACACAAACTTAATACACTCCAAAAAGAAAAAAAAAAACCTAGTAATAATGAATTCT